ATAGTTCTTTATTTGACTTAATTTTGATTCTTCTTTTGGAATAAGAGTGACGAAAGCTTCCAACCACGACTCTGGAATTTTCGCAGTATCTATCAATTCATTAAAGACTTCCAGCATAGGATTGGCTAACACATCTTGTAGGGTTTTATATAATTCCGCTGGTAATCCCTCTGGTCCTGGTGCCTTGCTGCTTTTTTGTCTCTTGATTGCCTCCACCAACTTCATCATTGTTATTTCCTCCTCCATCATTTTTTTTGTCAACTCTGGTATTTTAGGTAACAGCATTTTCTAAATACATTTTAGTTTCATCTTTGGAGGTTATTTCTTGTTGATATAACTGTTCATAATATATAAGGCATTTTTGAATACATGAGTCTTCCTTTAACCTCCCCTGTTTAAAACTGTTTTAACAGTTTTGCCTGTTAAATTTAAACAAGTTGTTAAGCAAGTTGTTAAGCGAGTTGGATGGGGTGGCACCATCCCAGACTGACCTGGTGCGGAAACTGGGGGTCCTCCTGGACTCACAACTCCTGCTCGAGGAGCAGGTGGCAGTTGTGGCCAGGAGGGCCTTTGCATAACTTCGCGTTGTGTGCCAGTTACACCCTTTCCTGGATCGGGAGGCCCTCCATTCAGTCATTCATGCCCTAGTCATCTCCTGTATAGACTATTGCAATGCACTCTTCATGGGGCTAATCTTGAAGAGTATCCGGAAGCTTGCAGCTCGTGCAAAATGCAGCTATTTTGGGTGCCCCAAGGATCGCACATGCAACACCTTTGCTGTGGAAGCTGCACTGGGTGCCAGTTTGCTTCTGGGTACAATTCAAGGTGTTGGTTATCACCTTTAAAGCCCTACATGGCATGGGACCAGGCTACCTGAGAGACCATCTCATCCCCATTATGTCGACCTGTCCCACCGGTCAGGCAGAGAAGGTATGTTACGGACCCTGTCTACAAAAGAATGTTAACTGGTGGGGCCCAGGAGGAGAGCCCCAGGAGGAGAGCCTTCTCTGCTGTTGCCCCTGCCCTATGAAACACTCTTCCCCCAGAGGAGAGGTGGGCCCTGACTCTCCTAGCCTTCCAGAAAGGGGTGAAGACCTGGCTCTGCAAACTCGTGTCGGGCAAGAAGGGATATAACCAACCCTGGAGATGGCTGGAGCCTTGAAGGTGCTCCCCAAGTCTAATAACTCCTAGTTAACATCAGTTTCTTGGAAGATATTTATTATTTATATAGGAATCCTGTTGTAATGTATTTTAATTAATATTTATTCTATTTTAATTAATAGTTATTTTTTTTACTATAAACCGCCCAGAGTCGCTCTGCAGTAAATTTGAAATATAAATAAATAAAATAAAATAAATATGTCTTTTTGATATTAATCCATCTAATTTTTTTCTCATATACTGTATATCCCAATCCAATATCTGCATCAGTTGAAGTACAGGCCTATCAATGAAAACTTATGACACATCAAATATGTTAGTTTGAAAGGTTTTGACAGAATTCTCTGAGGACTTTGTTTTACCCTCAGAACATGGTCATAACATCTGTTTTTTTCTTTCATTGAACAGGTGCCAGTGGTTGCTGTGACAACAACAGGAACTGGTATGAGAGCATTAACAGGTCTTTACGGCACCCTTTGGGGCCTCCAGAGAATGAAGCTTTTGGATTGTATTTCATATATAACTGGGTCATCTGGAACCACATGGTAAGCGACTGTGTTTTTATTGGGGATTTATTTCAATTGCTTAGACCGTAAGGAATCTTAATGAGTCTTTCATTCTCATCAGTTAGATTTATATTCCACCTTTCCTCCAGGAGCTGAAGGTAGAATATACAGTATTCTATAAAACTATACAACTGAAACAAATTGAGGTAAAAAGAAAAGATATTTAGAACATCTCAAGAGACTACACTACAGTAAATTACTACTTCAACTTCAACTTTCAACTTTATTGATTAGTCTTACAACCATATCAGCAAGAATAAGAAACATCAGCAAAGGTGAAACAAATAACTAATACACAAAATCCATGATACA